ACTTCTTTTTAGAAATTCAGATGTTGGTTGATTCCACCCTCCACCCCCAACATCTTTCCTTGACCAAACAGAAAGTTAATTCTGTTATGAATTATGGATATTCATATTATGGATATTATGGATATTTTACTGGCCCAAGAAACCCCCAAACTAAGGAACTCCTGGACTTGTGAGATTTCTCCGGACTCCAAGATACTCAGATGGATCTGTGTCTTCAACGCAGCCCATATACTTAATGCCTTCTACTTGAAATGTTCTCTCTAGGTATTCATTGATTAACCTTCATGAGTATCATGAAGGCTCAGCCAAAGTGTTAATGCTCAGTGACACAAAAAATTGATGCCACCTCCAGGTATTTAGTCAGGGTTTACTTTGCAGTAAGAGAGAAACTCATTAAATTCAGAATAGGTAGACTTCCAGCCAAGATGGAGGTGTAGGTAGAAACCCTTTACTTCCTCACACACATCCTTTAGATAATAACCAATCTAAAAATAGACAATCAGAAGTGCCAGAAAATCAAAATGCATGGAACTTCCACAACAAAGGAATTAAAGAAATATTCAACCACACCACCAATAAAAAGGAGCCGTGCATCCGGGTGGGTGGAGAAGATTGGCCTTAAGGTGACGGACTGCATGGCCGTGGCTGGCTGAGAGAACCTGCAACAAGGCTGTGGACTGTGTGGGCAGGGTGGGGTTGGCTGAAAGGGAAACTGTGACTCAGAGCTGACTGCTGACTATGGCAGGGGCTGCCATAGTGGGAGAAACTCTCAGTCTCACATGAGAATTCGTTAGAAAGTGGGGTTAGAGCTGAGCAAGCAAGCTGCATTGTTCCCTCTCTACCCCCTCCCCCACAAATAGGGCCACAATGAAGCAAGGAGGGTTGCCCTGCCCTGGTGAATACCTAAGGCCCTGCCTCCTTACAACTTAACAGGTGTGCCGAAACAAAGAAATATGACCCAAATGAAAGAACAGAGCAAGACTCCAGAAAGAGAGCTAAGAGATGAGAAGATAGCCATCCTATCTGATGAGAGTTAAAAACCCTGGTAATCAAAATGCTAACAGAATTAACTGAGCTTGGTTGCAAAATGAAAAAGCAAATGAAAGATACCCAAGTGAAATAAAGCAAAAATACTCAGGGAACCAACAGTGATAGGAAGGAAACCAGGACTCAAATCAACAATTTGGAACAAAAGGAAGAAATAAACATCCAATCAGAACAGAGGGAAGAAACAAAAATTCAAAAAAATGAAAAGAGGCTTAGGAACCTCTGGGACAACCTTAAACATTCCAATTTCTGAATTATAGGGGTGCCAGAAGGAGAACAAGAGCAAGAAATTGAAAACTTATTTAAACTAATAATGAAAGAAAACTTTCCTTGAAGGAAAGTTTTCCAGGTGAAGGAAATAGAATTCCAGGAAGCCCAGACAGTCCTAAAGAAGCTGGACCCAAAGAGGAACACACCAACACACATCATTAAGTTACCCAAGATTAAAGATTAAGAGAGAATCTTAAAAGCAGCAAGAGGAATGGAGAGGGTTACCTACAAAGGAGTGCCCATAAGACTATCAGTTGCTTTCTCAAAAGAAACCTTAGAGGCAAGAAGGGGCTGGAAAGAAGTATTTAAAGTCATGAAAGGCAAGGACCTACATCCAAGATTACTCTACCCAGCAGAACTTTCATTTAGAATGGAAGGGCAGATAAAGTGCTTCCCAGATAAGGTCAAGTTAAAGGAGTTCACCATCACCAAGCCCTTATTATATAAAATGTTAGAGGGACTTATCTAAGAAATTGAAGAATATCAAAAACTATGTACAGTAAAATGACAACAAACTTACAACTATCAACAAATGAACCCAAAAGAAAAGAAAAATAAAACAAAAACTAAGCAAACAACTAGAACAGGAACAGAACCACATAAATGGAGATCACATGGAGGGTTTTCAGCGGGGATGAGGAGGGGAGAAATGGGAGGGAAAGGTACATAGAATAAGAAGCATAATTGGTAAGCATAAAATAGAGGTTATGAATGGTATAGGAAACAGAATTCAAAGGAATTATACGTACAACCCATGGACATGAACTAAGGTGGGGTGGAATGCTGGAGGCTTGGGTTATGCCGGGGGAAAAATTGGGAAAACTATTAGCATAATCAATAAAATATACTTTTAAAAAGTCAGAATAGGTAAAGAGGTGATTGTTATGAGGATATGGGAGAATCTCGTGGGCAGCTGAGAATAGAAAATAAGTGGAGTCAGCTTGCCTTAAAATTGGGCTTAAAAATGGAATGTTGGGAATAAAAGCAACTGTCTATCTTTCGTGGGATAAACATGACTTTTCAACCACTTTTTGCTTTCCTCTGCCAACTCACTTTTTTTGGTATATATATTATTCTCTCAGTAACTTTGGATGGCATGAGAGTTTGGCTCTTGTGGTGTAGGAGCGGTGCAGTCTCTCAGTGTTGCAATTCCAAAGTCTCCAGCAATAGCTTGATTGGTTCACCAAGGGTCAAGTTACCATTTCTGGTTCAAGTAGCTATGGCAGGAAATGGGACCATTAGTACAAACATGTCTTCCTAATATGCATTCTTTCAGAGAGCCTAGGAAGTGAGCAGTGGGGAGAGGCAGCTCTACATGCATCATTTTCCTTTTTCCATTAATTTTCACCTTGACAGCTGGAGACAGCTGGAGACTAGGTTGGTATCTGGACTAATTCTGGGACTATGAGTCTTACTACAATGGCTAGAATCCAAGACAGTTGATTTTATTTGTTTGTTGAATTCTGAAGGAAGATTTAATAATGTCGGTAACTCTGTAGCACTCAGCTGTGGTGTTTCTCCCCCCTGGAATGTAAAGATTCTGATGTTTGGATTCCATTAGAATGTATTCTAATTCTTTCTAAAGATAAAATAATTTTCACTTACCCATGCCACTTTTTCTGTTTGCCACATTATTTAAGCGTGATTGGATTTTATACCATAACCAAAATTGTTTGTAGAGGCACACATAACTCAATTTCATAAGCCAATTTAAAATAGAATTTGTATCTAAGTATTTGTTTCTTAGGAAACTTTTTTTTAAAAGATTTTATTTACTTATTTTTAGAGAGAGGGGGAGAGAGAGAAGCACTGATTGGTTGCCTCTCACGCATCCCCAACTGGGGACTTGGCCCATAACCCCAGGCATGTGCCCTGGCTCGGAACTAAATCAGCAACCTTTCAGTTTGCGGGTCAGCACTAAATCCACTGAGCCACACCAGCCACAGTTCTCAGGAAACTTTTCAGACATTTTACAGAGTGATCATCTCATTACTGCTTAAAATATTAGGATGGTGTATAAATCTTTGTAAGTGTACATTTGAATGCTTATAAACACTACTGTATATATTCTACTTATTTAGGCCTAAATATATTGTCCTTTCATATATTGTACAGTTGAATGAGCCCATCAAGTCTTTGCTAACCTCTGCATTAAAAAAGACATAAAACTGCAATATGGCAAGACCCCTTGATTATAACTACACTACAAACTAGAAAGGATTTTTTCAGCAAATATGTAAAAGGACCCAAGTATGTAAAAGGACCAAAATGGATATTTTTCTCTAAAGGAGCACATGGTTTAATTCCTTTTTTTTTTTTTTTTGCTGGTAAATACAAAATTTAATCACTAACTTGCTCACATTTGTCACCACAAACACAATGACTTTTTTCTTAGGGTCAAGGTGCTGAGTGTTACTCAAGCATCTATCTCTCTACGAAGGGCCACATTTAACTACGTACACATCAAGAAAGCACAGACCTTTTTACTTGCCGCGGAGTATTTTCAAGACTGGATGTAACACCTGATTCTTTCAGCAGTTGTTGTAGATCCTTTGACATTGCCCTTTAATTTAAAAAAAATGTTGTTGGACCACTAACCTTCATATTAACTTTGTCGCAAGGTGTTTATCTTGGTAAATTATCTAATGTTTGAATTCAATTTACTCTCTGGTAAAATGGGTATTCCCTTCATTTTAGATGGCTGGGAGTGTTTGTTTTTATCCCATGCCTGCATACACTGCTTTGTAGAAAAAAATTTTTAAAGAACCTTTTAAGTTGTAGTTTTATGATAATGAGGCACTGATTTAAAAAACTGAAACTGAAGGTTAGGCTCCTCAATTTATATGGTTCAGTGGATTGAGTGCCAGACATAATCAAAGGGTTGCCGTTTCCATTCACACTGAGGGCACATGCCTGGGTTGCAGGCCAGGTCCCCAGTAGGGGGCGCGGGAGGGGCAACCACACATTGATGATTCTCCCTTCCCCTCTCTCTAAAAATAAAATAAAAGCTTAAAATTATTATCACTATTATTATTTTAGAATTTCAACATCTATGAAAAACCTTCTGCACTACTAAATTCTAGAATAGAAAATGCATCTAGACAAGCTATTACTATTGCCATGAATGAGGTTTACAGAAAATGCTGCTTTTCTTTTATTTAAGTGGTTTAAATACAGCTTTGAACTGATTTGAACGCGAATCAAACACTGTATGAAACTGATTGGCAGCAGGGTCCAGGTGGAAGTGTTATTAACTCAAGAAAGATCCCTTTTTTGTGTGTGTGACCACAGCTATAAATCATATTCTAGGCCTTTTTAGTGGTTTTATCCCCTTGACAAAGACTCAATTAAAAAAAAAAACAACCTAATTTCCATCTTACCTCCCCCGCACTGTGAAAAGAATGTTGAAATAATTAGGCACCAACCCGATTAAAAACCCCGGGTTTTTCTTCTGCAGGTCTTCCTGCGGGGTAGTGGATCACCAACAACTCCAGCACAGAGGCAGGGGAGTTAAACTACAGTAGCCACAGGACTTCACTAGCCCCTGAGCGCCTCGCCTAGCCAACTTCCTGGGGAGCCGGTGACAGTCTCCTGCCCCGCCCCCACGAGTCCGGGTCAGAATTTTCCCGCGTCGCCGCCGGGGGCGCTTCGCAAGGCCCCAGAGTGCACTGCGGGTGCGCACGGGTACGCACGCGCGACTCCACAGCCCAGCCACCGCGGGAAAATTCCAAAAAGTCAAAACAAAACAACTAGTCCTAGGCAAAGCCAAATTTTCAAGCCACAGAATTCAGGCGGTGGCGTCCTGTCCGCCACTGCCCCGACTGCTGGAGGAGCTCTGCCGCAGACTACTAGGTAAGAGAGGCCACAGAAGAGAGGGAAGACGGCTGCTTCCCTTGGGGTGGTTATGTGGCCCACGAGTCAGCCTCGGGGTGAGGGTAGGGAGGGGAGACTCGCGAGAACGCCCACCATGCTGTGCCTCTGTAGGTGAGCGAGCTAAGCTCCCGCGGTGTGCCTTAGGCGAGAGGGAAAGTGGGTAGGGAGTGAGGTGGGGCCAGCTTGCAGAGGGGCGGGGCTGCCGTGGGGGCGTGGCCATGAGCAGAGTAGCCCCCCAAGCAGCGGGGCCAGGGGAGGGGTCAAATGAAAGGGAACCCACCGAGAGAGGGTGGGAGCTGGGAGTTAGCATTTTGGTTCTTTCTGTTTATTGAGGCAGGCAGCCATATCCTCTTGAAGGAGGGGAGCAGAGGTGAATTTCTTCACCCTGCTTCCGTGGGAGCTGTGAAAAGCTCGCCTCTTCAACCCATCACCCTCTACAGTAGTTGACATGCTTTGTGTACCACCCAGCGCCATGGGCGAGGCCCAATTAGAGGAGCCAGAGCCGCAGCTGTTACCCCTCTCGCCCTTCAGGTCTTTCGTCCCAGTGGGAGGCTTCTGATGGACTATCGTCTCCCCACAACTCTTTGAATGCAAGGCCAAACGGGGGCCGAAGCCCTAGAGAGATTTTTTTTAGGGGTGTTGTTTGTTGCTATGCCATGCGTGTGTGTATTTTTTAAGTGGGAGCGTTTACAGTCCTCTATAGTCATGTTGTTTGGGCTAGAGGTCTGGAGGGCAGTGGGGGAGAAGATTTGAAGTTTTCGAAATATGAGAAGTTGGAGACCAGAATTTTAAGGAAAGAGGCCAGGGAATTTTCTGGCCGAGACCTGTGTGTGCCTGTGTCTTTGTCCTAATCTGAAACTTGGAAAGCTCCGGGGCTCCTGGATTTACTCTAACCTATGTCCCATTTAATGCATCTTAACTGAGATGTGATTGACTTACCAGCAGAAGAGCAGTGCACTTTTAAGCCACCCGACTTCAGCTATTCATAGGTATCACTCACCTTCAGTAATGTGTGGCTCAGCACATTTTTTCATTACTTCCCTCAAGAGGGGAGGAAAGGTTGTTTCAAATGATAGAATTCATACCATGTGCTGGGATCATTTATTACATAAGCTTAGATAGAAACATGTTCACTGTGACTTTATCCATTAAGCTTAAACCAAATTGATTCACATGGAAATAAGCACACATATACATTACTCATGTACACATACAAGAAAGACTACATCAGAAAAGAATTTGGTTTTCCTAGTTATATCAAAGGCCTTTTTACCCCAGAGTAAAAGTTAGATCCAGCTTCTTTAGAATTGGACTAATTATACTTTGGTATATTATACATATTAATTCATGTTTCATTATTCAGTCATATTCCTCTTGATTTCTTGAAAAACATTTTCTAAGGTTTCAGTAAAGAGAGGGAAACTGTATATTAGAATTTTTTGTTCTGTTCTTTAATAAAAAGCATTAACTTGATTGATTGGCTGGGTGTGGAAGATATGTTGCTGCATGCACGTGAAAGTGTGTGTGTACATTTTAAAATAAATGGGATTTTAAACTAGTTCCACATTTCAGCAAGTAGTTCCAGTAACAATTATACAAATTTTGTATTTATGAAAACCAGCTACAGGGAGGCCAGCCTGGGCGGTAGAAAGTTGGACTGATTAGCTAGGCTGCAGAGAGTGCCAGAGAAATCTCACATATGTGGCAGTTCCAAGTTGGTAGTGGTGAAGCCTCAAATCAGGCTTGAAATCAGCACCAAATGGATTTATAAAATTTTATTTTAGGCCCTGGCTGGGTAGCTCAGTTGGTTAGAGTGTCATTCTAATATACCAAGTTTTCAGGTTTGATCCCTGGTCAGGGCACATATAATGTTTCCCCTTTTTCTTTCTTTCTAAAATCAATAAAAATTTTTTTAATTAAAAAAAACTTTATGCTGAGGTATGTATAGTCTCTGTTCTTGTTTGTGGATCCTAAATAACTGACTTTTTAAGATGAATGAACACCTGTAAGAGAAGTACATTGAGTCTGCAGTGTTTTACTAAAAATGGATAAGTAGAGAAGAAAAAAGTTAAAAATTCATCAGAAAAGTTAGACTATAATGCATATCTGCAGCATTTTATTTTCTACTAATATCAAAAAATTTTTTGGGGGGGGACTCAGTTTGGAAGAGACCTTGCAAAATTATCTGGTTCATTCTTTCAGGTTCTTCAGAAACTCTTCTGGGTACATAGAAATCATTTCCCTGTTAAGATCTTAATATAGGAACATCTGTAATTTTTCCCTAATTATAAGAAGGCATAGTTCATATGGAAATCACTTTTTTTTGAAGTGATATATTTTGTTTTCTAAAGAATTAAGTGTCTTTTAGTAAATTTAGTAGATTTTGAAATTGAGCAATGATCACGACAATTCAGGTTTTAGACATTTGCATCACCATAACAAGTTTTCGTATGCAAGTTCATACTCAATTCGGGCTCTGGCTTTCAGCCTCAGGCAGCCCATTGGTTTGCTTTGTGTCTCTATAGAAAAGACTTTCTGGACATTTCATATAAATGAATTCATAAAATAAGTACTGTCTTGTGTCTGGTTTCTTTCACTTAGCATAATGTTTTTCGGATTCATCCATGCTGTAGCATGTATCATAGTTTGCTCCTTTATTGCTGACTAGTATCCCGTTGTGTGGATGTGTCACATTTTGTTTATTCATTAATCAGTTGATGGAAACTTGAGTCACTCCTACTTTTTGGCTGTTATGAATAATGCTGCTGTGAGCATTTGTATGCAAGTTTTTGTGTGGACATATGTTTTCATTTTTCTTGAATAGATACCTATGAGTGGAATTGCTGGGCTGTAGAGTGAGCTCATGTTTAACTTTTTAGAAAACTGCCAAACTGTTTTCCAGTTTAGCTGTACCATTTTACAATATATTCCCACCAGCAATGTGTACAGGTTTGTTTTTCCACATCTTCACTTGTTAATTGTGTCTTTTCTTATAGCCATCCTAATGGGTGTGAAGTGGTATCTCCTTGAAGTTTTAGTTTCTATTTCCCTATTCGCTAATGATGTTGAACATATTTCCTTGTGCTTATTAGCAATTCCTACACTGTCTTTGAAATGTCTATTGAAATCTTTTGTCCATTTTCTGATTGGGTTGCTTATCTTATTATCAGCTTGTAAGCATTTTTTGTATATTCTGGATACAAGCCCATTATCATATACATGTTTTGCAAATGATTTCTCCCAGTCTGTTACTTGTGTTCTCATTTTTTTCAGGTTATCTTTTGAAGCACAAAATGTTTAATCTTGAGGAAGTGCAGTTTATCAGTTTATTTCCTTTTTTGGATCATGCTTTAGGTTTATGATCAATTTCAGTTAACTTTTGTATACGGTATAAAATATGGGTCCAAATTCTTCATCTTTTTTTGTGTGGTTATCCAATTGTTTCAGCACTATTTGTTGGAAAAAATCTGTTCTTTCTTCATTTAGTTGTCTTGATACTTTTGTCAGAAATCAGTTGACCATAAATTATCTCTAGACTCTTGTTTCTGTTTCAATGGTCTGTATTCCTATTCTTGTACCAGCAACATGCTGTCTTGATTATGGTGGCTTTATAGCAAATTTTGAAATTAGTAGTATAATACTTTCATTGTTTTTTTTTTTCAAATTGTTTTGGCTATTTTGGGTTTCTTATACTTATATATAAATGTTAGTATCAGCTTGTCATTTTTTCCATGAAAAAAAGTGACAAAAAGCTTGTTGTGATGGATTTTAATAGAAATTACACTGACTCTGTAAATCTTTTTGGGGGAGAATTGCCAACTTAACATGAACAGAATGTGTAGCTGTTTGTTTAGATCTTTAATTTCTGTCAGCCATGTTTTATAATGTTCAGTGTATAAGTGTTGACCTGTTTTAACTGTATTTTGAAGTGTTTCATTTTGATGCTATTGTGAATAAACTTTTTTCAAATTTCATTTTTGGGTTCACTGCCAGTATATAGAAATATAGTTGATGTTCACATATTGATCCTGTATCCTGTAATATTTATTCCTTCATGCAGGTTTTTTTTTTGAGTGTGAGACTTAGTTGGAATTTTCTACATATACTAACATGTCATATATGAATATAGACAGTTTTACTTTTCCTTTGTATATGGATGCCTTTTTTTTTTTTTTTGCCTATAACCTCCAATACATTGCTAAATAGAAGTGGGGAGACAGAGGGGAGAGTAGGCATTCTTAACTTATTCCTGATCTTAGGGGGAAAACATTTAACCTTTTTCCAATAGGTTCTTATGAATAAATGTTGGATTTTTTTGGATGCTCTTCTGTATCTATTGAGATGACCGTGTGGTTGTGGTTCTTTATTCTATTAATGTAATTTATTAGGTTAGTTGATTTTTAAATATTATACTAACTCTGTGTCCCTGGGATAAATCCCACTTGGTCACGGTATATAATTCTTTTTACATGTTACTAGATTTGGTTTAGTATTTTGTTTAGGATATTTGTATCTATGTTCATGAGGAATATTGGTGGGTAATTTTCTTGTGATGTCTTTGTCTGGCTTTGGTTTTATGGTAATACTGTCATCTTAGAATGAGTTGGAAAGTGTTCAGTCTCATTTTCTAAAAGAGTTTGTGAAGGATTAGTGTTATTTCTTCTTTCAGTACTTGATAGAATTCACCCATGAAGTTACCTGTTCATGGATTTTTCTTTATGTGAAAATTTTAAACTATAAATTAAGAACCAAGTCTTCATTTCATTGATTTTATTTATTGTTTTTCTGTTTCACTGATTTCTACTCTAATCTTTATTATATCATTCTTTCTTGCTTTGAGTTTAATTTGCTCTTCTTTTTCTGATTCATAAAATAGAAGCTTACGTTATTGATTTGAGACCTTTATTCTCTTCTAATACAAGTGTTCAAAGTTACAAACTTCTTTTTAAGCACTGTTTAAATCCCACAGATTTTGATAT